ACTACTAGGAGCAAGGACGCATAAGGACGCTACTAGGGGCTCCTGGCATCGCTACTAGGAGCAAGAAGCTACTAGGGGCTCCTACTAGGAGCAAGGACGCTACTAGGGGCTCCTTGAATGGATTTGCTGGTCCTCACCCTCAAGGCCACTTGTGGCCTGTTCCTTTGCTGGTTAACTCTCCGCGAACAACCCCAAGAAGACCAATGCATGGTGCTTTTGTATGCTTTTGTAGCATTCCGTGATACTTGTTCATATTTATCAAAGCCCAATCCTTTTCCGTGCCAAACAAGCTCCGGCATTTGGCGTCGGGCGGAGGTTTCAATACGAAGCGGCGAAGCGGTGATGAGATTGATGCTCGATGAGGTGATGTCGTGCGAGTTGCCTAAGCGTCGTGCTTGTGATGCGGGATGCGGTGGCTTGCTTTTGTGATGTGGTGATGTGTAATATGATGACTTGTGCTTTGAAATTGTGCGTGGTGCTGTGCCAGATATGGTTAAGTGTAAGGTGGCGATTTGTGACGAGGGGAAGTTAAGTGTATCGTGCTGATTCTTTGTATGGTGAGCTGTACACCTGGCACCTGCATTCCGCCCCCGAAACCTATCTGCAATTGTCCCCACCTTATCCCACATGTCACTCTCCAGACTAGAGTACCTTTGCGTTCTCACGCATGCCTCTCATACTCACATGGTCTCACCTGCCTTCATTGAGACACAATCTTTTTGCAACTGCTCGCGAAGCTCGGATGTTTCTGTCCCGATTTCTCGCTTTCACATTGCTTTAACATGCTTCAACGATGAAATGATCACATGAACAAACGCCCCAGAACTAGCCCATGTGCATTTCTCCACACCTGGCATAAAGTCTTCGTAGCATGGCAATCTTTGCTCATGCCTGCTTAGACCTCTCTCTTTTGCTTCAGGAGCTGACAAAGTGCGGCGTGGGTGCTGTATGCGTGAGCGAAAATGGCCAGAATGTTTGCAAGTGTTTGAGCTCAGAGTGGGAAAGTGGGGCCGCTAATTTTTCCGGGATTTGGGATGACAGAAGTCGCACGGAATTTTGGGACTATATAATTGGGCACACGCGGCACTCGCCTACAAGATCTCTAGAAGCGAGCTCAATATGAGTCCAGTCTTCAAGAGGGAGGTGATCATGTTCGGGTCTTTTGCTGGAAGCAGTAGCGCTTTGTCGTGATTCCTAGATGTCGGTAGTGAAGGTGGGCACGACCTGAGCCGCGGACTAGAGGTGTAGGAAAAACCTGGTTCCTGCTGGAAAGCCCGGGTCAATTGAAGCAGCCACGTTCAAGCAGCCAAATATCTTAAAATAACCCAAGGTAAACATGATTGTTTTGTGAATCGTGGCAGTATGCATAGTCGTGGTCACGGTACCACCTGAATTCAGGATAGTGGTTTTGTGCGACCTGGGCATATTTGCCCTTCTTAATCGTTTTGCTGGTGTTCATGGTTTCATTCTTCCGCACAAAAACACATTGCGGGACCTTCTCCGAACGAGGTGTCAAATGGGCACGGACTGCAGTCCTGTGGATGGTAGCTGTCAAATCTCCACTCCGATGGGCAAGGCAGCCTTGGCAGGGGGAGCAATCCTGGGCCTGGGGGGTTCTATCCATGCAAAACGACAAAGCATTTGAACATCTTCAAGTAACCTCAACCGGCACGGCATAAAGCTTCATTCGATGGTTTTATGGAGGTGGCTCAATGATGTATACTCGTCAAAGGAAGTTTAGTGTGCAAAACTTCCGTGTTACGGACATTCAACAGCTGTTCAACCACCACTCATCATACACCACTCATCA